AAGCCCCACACTTCTAGACTCTAGTGGGTTTGCGGAATGCAATGCACCAAAATGATACCGACCTCCAGATTGGAGACAACAGGAAAGAACGCGCTGTATCCCCGACTAGAATACCGACTGTTTTTCCTCACTCTAGTTCTTACAGAATTCATAAGTTGTCAGACAGGTGGAAATGTGCGGGGGAGGGCCCGCGTGTGAGAAGCCGTCGGCGTTTGGCATTCTTCAATCAGGTCTACTTCCCATGTTATTTCATACTTGTGGTTGTGTTCGTACAGGTGAACGATTTTTTATGGCGCAAATCAGAATTTCATCAGGGGATCAAAAATTTTACTGTTCTTATATTGATATACGTTAATACGCGAATTTTGATTTGAAACAAATGATGATAACAGAATGGTTGACATGTTGAATTATGACATGCAAATATATAATAAAAAGTACGCGGTGATACATTCATTTGTAAGGTTGCATATCCACACGTGTTACAGTTGTGATACTACATGCAACATTGTTGTCGTCTTTACATTCTAGTGAGATTTGGTGCATCGTTACTGTACTGCGGAAACAATCTGAGCGTTCGAGACACTCAAAATACTTCCAATTTTTCACTACTAACATGTGTACTTGCTAGCGATATCTACTACACTGCTACACTCTAATACTTCGCTTCCTTGTGGATGAAGTGAAAACTTTGGTGCGGAAGAAATCTTCACAATATACAGGAACACATTAGCGCCACCCGAATCAAAAGTCGTGCGTGTGCCTGACCTTTTTACTTCAAGTCAGAGATAGCTATAATAGTACATTGTCAGATATTCCAGCATCTGAGCCCCAGAAAGGCCGAATAAGTTATTATAACCGAGATTCAGCAACTTGGAGAACCGCAGAAAAATTTTGTATCAGCTGATTTTGCATTAACATTTTTAAGACATCATAAAACAAATGACTTTCCGTATTAAAACACATAACGCGTAAATTGAAGTACTGATAGCCCACTAGCCTATTCGATGTGGGGGTGAGAATTATGGCGACAGAGATAGTTTTTAGCCACATACAGCACATTTCGATTATCCATTAGGTGCGTTTTTGTTGATACAATGACGCGCAAGAACTAAAAAAAAAGTAGGTGAAATAAATACAATGTTTGTTTTTTGTTTGAAAATGTAACAAAACATCATTAAACTACATACTTGATGATCAACGCAAATAACGCGTTTTGTAATTGTAAAACAATTCTGGTACGCTTAATATCTTCGACAACGTCTTACTGACCCTGTGCGACTCAATAGAAAACAGTAGGTTAGTTTCTAACTAGTTTCCTTTGGGGCTGAAAAAAATACAGAAACTGCCTGCATGCCAGGCTAGGGGAGTATTCCTGAAGGGAAGTCGGTCCTTATTGGGCACGGAATTCCCTCGTCTCTGTCAGGCTAACTCCAATGGCAAATATTTCTGTCTATTTAGTCCGTTTCCACTATTGTCCAGTCACCAAAAGTATCTGGAGACTATGCTATAGTTAAGGAAGGAGAAAAATAAATAAAAGACTACGAAAAGCGCGCGTGCGGTTTGCACAAGAAACTTCTGTTCTACAAGAACTACCTGTTTCTTTCCGCGTGTCCCCCTGCTGGCTCTCCTGATTCCTGGTCCCGTCTCTCATCCTATCAGCTGACGACTGGGCTTCTATCCCGAGTAGACTCCGGATGGAGAATTTGTGCCGAAAATTTGCCAGTGCGTCTTCGGGAGTACTTTCCGTGCTGCCGTCACCGCAGTCGTCAGGCATCTCCTCGGCGATGGGTGAGTCCTGCCCCCGAAGGATTTCGTCCCCCTCTCCGCTGTCGGGTCCTGCGGTCCCAGGGTCGCACGGGCTGCCGGTCACCTCTGACATACTGATGCTTGTGTGTGGCTAATAGGTGGGTAGAACAACAAGCGATAAGCCCGCAAGAATTGGCTACAAATTACGGAGAAACTGGACGACAATTCG